CCTCCACCACTGGGCGTGGGCAGGATGGGCCACTGTCTCTCCTCAGGCCTCCCCTCTGCCATCCAGTCCCGTTCATCCGAGAGCTCTTTTCCTATGCGCAGCAGGGGCTCCTGTACTGGGTGGAGAGAAAGCTAGGTGGGAACGCGAAGGCCAGGGCTTGCCCCTAGGCTTGACTGCGGGCTTCTCTGGGCCTCCCTCGGTTTCCTCATCTGTCGAGTGAGGACAGTAGCCTGTCCGTGTCTTAGAGAAGGCAAATGAATGAACACGGACAGAAGGGCTTTGCAAAGGGGCAATGCCTTGTTTGTAGGGCTATTACTGCAGGGGTGTCCAAGAAGAGGGCAGAGGGGGCAGCTCGGGTGGCACCTGTTCCCTGTCACACCAGCATGGGTGGGCGGGGCCTATCAGGACAGCCATTCCAGCCAGAGAGGCTGAGGCCCCGGGGGGCTTGCTGCTATCAGAGCTCCCCACACCCACCCCCTCGGGCCCAGGGTTGTCCTACGTGGGGGTCACGGCCTGGCTCAGCTCTAAGGGCTTGGCTACCAGAGGTCCCTGTTGCTTGTCACCTGGTGGAGCCAGAACCCCATGTCCTCAGCTCCAGGGACAACCTGTGGTTGCTGCCCTGCCCACACCTGCCGTGAGGTGTGTAATCATATGTAGGAAAGTGCACAAATCACACCTGGACAGCTTGATGGACTGTCGCCCCATGAAAGCAGCACCCAGCTCGAGAAACAGTGTGACCAGCGCTGAGGGTCTGCTGAAAACAGAAACCAAACCAAACATGACTTGGGACGTGGCAGGAAGTGTCCCCACATGTGTGAACTGCCAGCCACCTACCTCCCAGCTTCGGTGAGACACCAGCTCACTGGTGGGGCTCACGGTGTGTCCTCCAGAGCCACATGGCCCTGACCGAGTTGCCATCGTGTCCCAAAGCTGGATCTGGGAGGACTCGTGCCTTCTTCTCTTCCAGGACGGGGGTCCCACAGCTTGCCCCACCTCACGCCTCTGCTCCCCGACCTCCCCCTGCCGGAGTAGCTATTTCAAAAGGCAGAATGGACCCTCATGCTGGACAGGCTCAGAGTCAAGTGGTGGGTGGGCCTTGTGCCCCTGTCCAGTGTCCCCTCAGGTCCTCCTAGGTCCTCCCAGGTCTTCCCAGATCCTCTTAGGTTCTCCCAGTGTTCTCCTAGGTCTTCCCAGTTTCTCCCAGTTCCTCCCAGATCCTCCCAGTTCCTCCCAGATCCTCTCAGATCCTCCCAGTTCCTCCCAGTGTCCTTCCAAATTCTCCCAGATCCTCCCAGTTCCTCCTAGTGTCCTCCCGGATCCTCCCAGTTCCTCCCAGCTCCTCCCTGTGTCCTCCCACTGCCTTCCTAGATCCTTCCAGTGCCCTCCCAGATCCTCCGGGGTCCTCTCAGGTCCTCCCAACACCTTCCTAGCACCCACCCAGTGCTCCCTGTTGCCCATCCCGAGGGGAGCTCTTTCCTGCTCAGGTGGAGGTTCTAGACCAGCTCGTGGCCTTGGTGCTGGAAGAGGACAGGCCCAGGAGACACCACAGGATGAGTGAGGGTCCTGGGCACAGCACCAGGCTTGAGCACACTCCCTGGGTGGGCTCCTACTGTCCACTGGGTAAAGACCCTCAACAGCCACTGATACCCTCCAAATACTGCCCGACCCACCTGTTTCACCTTCTTATGCTGCCCACCTTTATGACACTGGCCACAGCCAGGGAGTCTTGGGCCACACTCCCACCCCCACTGGTCCCCTTTGCCTTCCCTACACTGAGGGCCCCTCTCAGTCTGACCTCTGAAGGCCCCTCCATCCTCTTCCACCAGTGGTGTGCCCAGCCAGCTGGCACCAGCTAATTGCTACATTTTCAGGAATTTGCAAGCTGATTGTTTAACACAGCCATCATTAAAATTTAAATTATACAAATGTACAATTAAATAAATTATATTCAGAACAAAGGTAATAAATACTCAGAACTCATCACTTCCTAATTACTTTTATAACTTTTCACTATTATCTATGCATTTGAGGTTATCCACATCTATTGCACCCATAAGGTGTGAATACCAGATAGTCTGTGTGGTACTGCATGTCCCCTCCTACCTCCAGGTGCCAGTGTTTTCAGCCCTTCCTCCTCTCCCCCCCCCCCATGCTGGGGCATGGGACCCAGGCCAGGCGGGGAGAACGGAGTGTACACATATGAGGGTGCCGTGCACTCCCCAAACTTCCGACCAGGTAGCTAGGCACCTTGGGGTTCCTCCTCTGAGGGTTTTGGGCAGGGCAGCCCTTCAGTAGTTTCCCTAGCCCGCCCACTCCCAAATACCTCCCTAACACTGGGGAGGGAGAGGAAGCCCAAACACGACCAGGACTGAGTCTCTGCCTAGCCCAGGGGTTTGAATCCAGGTAAAAGGATTTAAAGAAGACAGAGGGATGCAGTAGTGTAGCTCTCCACCTGTCTGAGCAGAACTCCCCGTGTCTGGGCAAGGGTCCCGTATAGCGCTTTCTGGCAGACGGAGCGCTCCACAGAGGTCGCCCGCTGGACAGGAGGGTCCCAGCCTCTTAACCGCCATCTCCTCCCCTCGCGGCTCGACAATCAGATCCTGTTGCCTGCCGCTGGACCCTGCGCCAGGGCCCCTCCTCCCCTTCTGACGCCGTCTACTGCATTCTCTGCGGAGAGGTGGCCTGCTCCTCCCTCAGTGTCCAAGAGCCGTGGTGCCAGCCGCTGAGGTCTCCTCCCCTGGCAGTAAAAGCCCGGATCCCCGCCTCGCGCGCAGTCAGACCCTCGCCACTCCTGGGGCTCAAGACGCGAGGCGGGGCCAAGGATTCCCGCTCGGTTCACGCAGCCTGCCCGGGCCCCGCGGGGCTCCTCTTCCGCGCCTACGCGCCCTCTGTGGCGCTCTCCTCCCCCGCACCCCGCATAGCCTCGCCCCCAGAGCTCTGCGGGGAATCGCCTCCGACTAGACGCAGCCCTGGGGCGGGAGGGGACCCCCATTCGGTCTCGGGTTGAGAATTAAAGGGAAAAGCCGTCGCGCCCCTCGCGCGGGTAATTTCTCCGGAGTCGCGTTCTAGCCTGAGGCGCTCGGGGCCCAGACCCCCGTGGGACGCTCGTGGCTAGCCCCCTCCCGCAGTCTGGGGCGGGTTGCGGCGCTCAGTGGTGGGCGAGCGGGGCAGTCGGGGGCGGGAACCCCACACACCTCCTGGCCGCTGCGCGCGGAGCTCCGGACAGTCCCGTGCGGGCCGCGGGGTCCCTCTGGCGCCGGGAAGCGGCGGCCAAACGACGCGCGGGTCGTGCAGGGGCCGAGCCGGCTCGCAGCCCCGGCTCGAGGAGCGTTCAAGGCTGAGCTGACCAACAAACGCAGACCACGGGGAGCCTGGGGGCAGGGAGTGGGAGGAGGCCGCGGACAGGAAGGGCGAGAGCGTGGTTTCTCAAAAAGGTCCCAATAAAGCTGGCTTCTCCCACCAGCGGGGCGGGGGCCCAGGTCCAGCACCCGTGAGCTGCCTTTGGGTCCCTCCGGACTGGGGCCCCCAGCCGGCCGTCGCAGCGCCAAGTCAGAGGCTGCAGAATGAAGGGCTCGGGGTGTGCGTCCGGGGTGTCAGCGGGGCCGCCCCCACCGCGGCTCTAGGACAGGCTCGCCCTGTCACCGCGAGCAGGACCACGGGCGTCTTGGCGCCTCAGTTTTCTCCTCTGTACAGTGGGAGCTTGGAATGGGCGACCTCCGAAGCGCCTTCGGCTCTGACTGGCCCGGGCGGGATAGCGGCTCCGGCCCTGGTCGCGAGCCCCGAAGCGGACGCCGGAACCCGGGCGCGAATCTGGGAGCCGAGCCCCGCGGCGCCGCTGCCCAGAAAACAGGTGCGAATGTGTGTGTGTGTGGGGGGGGTGACTATGAGTAAAGTGCCATCGTGTGGCTCTCCCCAGGTGCGGCGCCCCCCCGCCCCCCGGTCCAGGATGCCTCCTCACCTGCCACCGTGCGCCTGGGGTAAAGAAAGCCCAACATGCACACGCGGACACACACACACACAGACATGGACACACAGGAACGCACCCAGACACGCACAGACGTGCCCTCGGGCCTCGGAGATGGGAAGGCTCTCGGGTAGCGCGGAAGAGTCCGCCCGCGGGGCCCCCCTCAGAAGCGGGCGGGCTCCGCGCCTCCCCCGGGGCTGCAGGGAGCGTCCAGCCCGGGCGGCGCCGTCTGCCCGGAATCCGGCCGGCTCCGCTGGCAGGAAAGGCTCGATCCGCTGGGGCCGCCTCCGAGAAGCGCCCGCCCGCCCGCCCGCCCCGCCGGCACGGGGGCTGTCATCTCCGGCGACGTGGCCGGGTCCCCAAAGCCTGGGAACTGGGGTGGGGGGCGTAGGAGAGCCAGGAACGAGGTCGTGGGCAAGTCCCCAGAGTCAGGGTGTATAGCGGCTTTTCAACCCCGCACGGACATCTAAGAAACGTGGAGCGGCCCTGCGACCCCCTCTCCGGACTTAGCGGCGCCGCGAGGCTCTTGCTCCCGGCACTCCTCATCCGGCACGCGGGGGTCGACGACTAGAGTCCTCGGGGGACCCAGCCCGGCCTCGAACACCCCTGGCCCGGGCCCCGAGGGTGTTCAGTGCAGCCAAGCGAGTTGAGCCGAATTCCGTCTCCAGGGATCGCCGTGGCCTCCTACCCACCCGGAGCCCCAAAGGAGATTTGGGTATATCATGCAGGTGGCCCATCCTCGAGTCCGAGGCCGCGACCTGGCCCCCCTAACCAGGGAACGGGAAGGACGGTGGGAGGGTTAGGGGGAAGGTGGAGGCGACGCCGGGGGTGGGGGAGGGGACGGGAGGAGGCTGCCCCCCACCCCCACCCCGCGCGCCCGTGCGCCGGTGCGCCCGTGCGCCCCCGGCCGCGCCGAGAGCCCGGGCCGCAGACAATTAAAGCGGGATTCCTCCCCCGCTGACGTCGCCAGCGCCGAGGCCCCTCCCGCGGTGGCATAAAAGGCGCGGGCTCCGCTGCGCAGGCGGCAGTGGCGGCCGGACAGCGCGGCGCCGGGAGCGCGGGCCGCTCGCCGAGCCCCAGCCGAGCAGATCCGAGCCGGGCCCGGAGCGCCCGGTCCCAGTGCCCGCAGCCATGCCTGCCGGCCGCGCCGCGCGCACCTGTGCGCTGCTCGCCCTCTGTCTCCTGGGCAGCGGGGCCCAGGATTTCGGTCCGACACGCTTCATCTGCACCTCGGTGCCCGTGGACGCCGACATGTGCGCCGCGTCGGTGGCCGCCGGCGGCGCGGAGGAGCTCCGGAGCAACGTGCTGCAGCTCCGCGAGACCGTGCTGCAGCAGAAGGAGACCATCCTGAGCCAGAAGGAGACCATCCGCGAGCTGACCACCAAGCTGGGCCGCTGCGAGAGCCCGAGCACGCTGGACGCGGGCGCCAGCGAGGCCCGGACAGGCGGCGGCCGCAAGCAGCCTGGCTCCGGCAAGAACACCATGGGCGACCTGTCCTGGACGCCGGCCGCCGAGACGCTCAGCCAACTCGGGCAAACTTTGCAGTCGCTCAAAACCCGCCTAGAGAACCTCGAGGTCCGCGCGCCGCGGTTCCCCCTCCGGCTCGCGCGCCCCTCTGCCCCCCCCCCCCACCGACCCGGCCCCACACCCCTCCCCCCCGCCTCCCCCGGGCACTGACGCCCGGCCGGGGCCGCCCCGAGCCCGCGGGGCCCCGCGGACGGCCACTCGCCCGAGCTCCCCGCCAGGCCGCCCCCGCAGTAGCCCTGAGGGGACCGCGCCGCGGGCCTCCCAGAACGGATCTGGCTCTGCGCGTAACGATGTGGTTTCCCCCCGCCCTTGCACCCCCGCAGCAGTACAGCCGGCTCAATTCCTCCAGCCAGACCAACAGCCTCAAGGATCTGCTGCAGAGCAAGATCGATGACCTGGAGAGACAGGTGCTGTCTCGGGTGAACATTCTGGAGGAAGGCAAGGGGGGCCCCAAGAACGACACCGAGGAGAGGGTCAAGATTGAGAGCGCCCTGACCTCCCTGCACCAGCGGATCAGCGAGCTGGAGAAAGGTAACGGGCGTGGGGGGGGGGGAGCATGCTGCCTGCCACCTCCCACTCCAGTGGGACTCTGCCTGGGGTCCTGGCTTCCTGCATATCTCAGCTCTGGCTGTAAAAGGCTGGAGCTCGTCCACCCCTCCACCCCCTTCCTGCACCCTGGAATCCCGGCCCCAGGTTCTGGGCTTCTAGTCAGTGTTCCTGGCAGGGCTGGGGCACCCTGGCTCGGGATATTTCGATGGAAGGGAAGCAGAGAAGAAAGGGATCGCCTGGTGTCTTCCGCTGCTGTCCCCAGACACTCACACACTCGCATGGTTTTTCCAAGTCTGATTTGTCTAATCTTCAGTAACTTTGCACAGTAGCTGTGGCCGGCCCAAGCCCTCCCTGGCTAAAGAAGCCTGGTGCTAGCCAGTCCCCATACCCAGCAGAGAGCAGGGCCCAGGCCGGGGCTGGGTCCTTCTGGTCCTTGGCGGATTTGGGCTCTAAGCAGGTTTCCTCCCAGCTCCTTAGCGCCCCTGGCATTCTCTGGGTTCCCCCCATCCGGATCAGAGCTCCCTCCCCACAGGTTTCTCTTCTGAGTGACCCAAGCCCAGACATCTTGCAAGCCCATGGTTCCCGGGTCACCAACTCCTATGGGCCTCAATTGTGCTGTGGGGCGCACGGGTGAGCCAAGTGGCTCAGCCTTGAAGTCGCAGAAATCAAACAAGGTTGTAAGGGGGGGCGCCTGGGCTCAGAGCAGGGCCACGTGACCCTTCTCCGACCGCAAAACGTGCCGGCTGGATTTAAACAGTGCCATCTTAAGGCGTGTTATGTAACTGAAAAACAGATCAGAGGAAGGAAGGCCGGGGGAGGGAAGGAGAGGAGATTGGGGAAATGAAAAACACTCCCTAGAGAGGCCAGGGGCTGGATCTGCTCCAGGAGTGGGGGGTTGGGAGCCTGAGACAGCTGAAGGGGGGAGTGCGGAGGGGGCCAGCCCTGCTGTGTTCCTGACACCTGGCTGAGAGGAAGAGGGAGGTTACTGGCCCAGCAGGACGCCTTCTAGAAATAATTCTTGGCCTGGGGGGCTGGTTTAGTGCTCGGCTCCCTGGCAGGCCCTGTGCACACCCAGGAGCTGGTGGGTGTGTGTGTTCCTGGCTCCCGGCCTGCTGCCGGTTCCCACTGCTGGGTTGAAACGTTTTGCCTGGAGTCAGTCACACCATGCCCAGGGCCACAGCCAGTGTCTGTGTGGGTTGGGAGGGGGCAGACAAGCGTTCCCTGAAGACATTGCCAGCAGGCGAGGAGCTGGTGCCGTGTGTATGGGGAGGCTTTTGGGCCAGGAGCCTGATTTTTCAGTAAACACACAGGAAGCTCGCCCTGAGAATGAGTGGCACTGTCCTCAGAGCAGTCACCTTGGGGGGCCCCTGGCTCCAGGGCTGCTTCCCAGCTCTCTGCTGTCCTGCCGTCTTTGCAGGGCTCCAGACAGATTTGCTAGAAGAGCCTCCACGGGACGACTTCCCCTCCTGTGGGGTGGTTGGATTCTGGAAATAGCCAGAGTCCTCAGGGCTAGGTGGCTGGGTTAGATGAGTGACCAGGGGCTGCAGCATTTCCTGGCCCCGAGGGAAGATGGGCACCAGGGGCCTAATTGGGGTGAAGATCCAAGAGAAGAGAGTGGTTTTGAGCACTGTCAGCAGCCAGCATCCTGGAATCAGGTCAGGCCCCCAAAGGGGCTGCTCTCAGGGGAGCTAGCCTCTTTCGCAGTGGGGAGGAGACCTCCTTCCTCTGCAGCCACGCCTTTAAGGGCTTACAGGATGCACATTGACCCATGCCCACCGCAAAGCCCAGGTGCAGATGCTCACAGCCCGCCGTGTCCCCCACATCCCTATCCCAGCCTCCCCGGGGGCAGCACCATGTGGGAGCCAGCCCCCTAGTGTGGAGACTTTGGGTTAGCTTTTTCTGTCCTGGTCCTGTGCCCTGGGACAAGGTACTTGACCTAGCGGAGCCTCCCTCTCAGCATCTAGAGAATGGAAATGGATTCTGCTCTGTCTGTGTCACAGAGCTTGGTGGGGGCTGAATGGGTTTCAGACAAGGACAAGCACTTCGCAGAGGTACAGATGTCAGGACTGTGTCCTGTCCTCCCCAGGCCAGAAGGACAACCGTCCTGGAGACAAGTTCCAGCTCACATTCCCACTGCGGACCAACTACATGTACGCCAAGGTGAAGAAGAGCCTGCCGGAGATGTATGCCTTCACCGTGTGCATGTGGCTCAAGTCCAGTGCGGCGCCGGGGGTGGGCACACCCTTCTCCTATGCCGTGCCCGGCCAGGCCAATGAACTGGTCCTCATCGAGTGGGGCAACAACCCCATGGAGATCCTCATCAACGACAAGGTAGAGCCCCCACCCATCTGGGCTTGCAGGACAGCAGGACGAGGCCCCCTGGGGCCCCAGTCCATGCCAGCTGCTGGGGCAGGTCTCTGGTGGCATGGAACACACAGCCTCAGACGCTGCTGTGACCCCAGGAGGAGCACCTGCAGGGCAGGGCTAAGGGAGGTGGAGGGTGAAGACCAGGAGAAATGGGGAGGGGCATCCTTCCCACACAGGGTCCTCGGGAGTGGGGGATGGAAGAGGATGATCTGATCTGGGGCCAGTCCATCCCACAGATCAAACCCTGACTCCTTCTCCCCCAACTGGCCTTGGAACTGGTTTTGCTCCTCCATATTTAGAGGACCATAGATGCTCTGGGGTGGTAAAGGTGCCCCTAGAGATTCTTTGTGAGTCCAAATCTATCCTGCTTGACCCCCTGCCCCTGGGAGGAGGCCAGATCTAAGTGACCCTTTGGGGAAGGACAGCCTTTTGCCTCCAGGGAACCCGTCTCCACTTGGCCCTCCATCAGCCGTGGAATTAGCTGCCAGCTTTCAAACTCCCTTGCCTCTGTGCCAGCGTCGGTAGTAAATGTCTAAAACTCAGGCTGGGAATCAGGTTCCGAGCCCTTGCTCTTGATGACTTTCCCAGAAAGGGTTGTGCCTTTCTGGGTTTCATTTCCCCAAGTTAAAAGGGTGTGAGAGTTCTTTGCTGCACCCTCCGCCCCACCTGGAATGTCAGAGGATGAGTGAAATCCCAGGTCCGAGGCTGGTCTGAGCTGTGAAAGGCATGGTGCCTTCTCCCCGGGTGTCTCTCAGATTCTCTGCAAAGGCTGGGCGAGTCATAGGCCTGGAGGATCCGGCAGTGAGAGACGGGGTATTGGAGGAGAGAGGAGAGGCTGGAAGGCAGCAGTGAACTGCGACCCCAGGGATGGCTCTCTCCATCCCAGGGCCTGTTTTGTAGACCAGCAAAGAGGGAAGAGAGTGAGTAGGATGGAGGAGATGGTGCATTCACATGGATCTTAGGGGCCCCCTTGACAAAGCATCACATTTCCTGTGTGACCCACCAATGGATGAGGCAACAGATGATCAAGTCCTGAGGGCAGGGCTGGGGATTCAGTAATGGCTCTTGCTACTTATTTTAAGTGTAGCGATAAGAGGCATAGCAGCTGAACAAGTAACTAGTGATGATCATCGATTCTGAGTTGTACCTCTGTACCCATCCTGTCCTGCGCATCATTCTCCTTCCCAGGTGGCCAAGCTGCCCTTTGTCATCAATGATGGCAAGTGGCACCACATTTGTATCACCTGGACCACCCGGGACGGAGTCTGGGAAGCCTACCAGGATGGCACCCAGGGTGGCAATGGTGAGAACCTGGCGCCCTATCACCCCATCAAGCCACAAGGCGTGCTGGTGCTGGGCCAGGAGCAGGTACTGGCCATGGGGGCAGCGGTGGGGGAGGCTGCAGGGGGAGGAGCCCCAGAACCAGAGACCAGGCAGGAGGAAAGAGAGTAAAGGGGTTGGCAGGGAGGGGGAGCGAGGAGGGAGTTGGAGAGGGAAGTGGTCTCCCCTGATAGTAGCCAAGCAAGTTATGGAGCAATTTGGGCAGAGTCCCTGCTCTGGGTGGGCTTATTCAGGAAATGTTAGCCAGAGGGGGCTTTGGTCTCAGCACTCTCAATCCAGGCAGCAATGCTTTCTTTGGCATGGGAAGGCCAATTCTGCCTTTAGTGATGCATAATTTATTTCCTGAAAGTAGTTTGTCTCCCATTGGACACCCGAGAGGGAGATGCAGGCAGGAGAGTCCCAGGCCTTCTGTTCCCATTGGGCGGCTGTTGCTGGCAGAGAGTGACATCTGAGTTCTTTGACTAAAAGCAGGGAAAGCGGGAGAGGCTCCCCCAAGGCCCTGCTCCTCTGGTTGTCTCTGGCCCCAATGGACCTCTCCCTCACTGGCCAGCGGACCGGCTGCAGGAGAGGCAGAGTTCAGCTGCCCCCAGGAGAGGCTCTGTGTCCAGTGCAGAGGTGGCCAGCAGCGTCCCTTTCCCTGGGCTCCTCGTGGGGGGAACTGATGCTTAGGTGAAGACCCAGAGACGGGACAAAATGGTACCCAGAGGTGGACATGAGAGCCCCTGATGGGGGAGACATGGAGACTTGCCTCCTAGGGATGCCCCCCACCCTATGACCTCCTCCCCCCTCCTCCTCTGCTTTTCTCTGAAGGATACACTGGGTGGAGGATTTGATGCCACCCAAGCGTTCGTGGGTGAGCTGGCCCATTTCAACATCTGGGACCGCAAGCTGACCCCAGGAGAGGTGTACAACCTGGCCACCTGCAGCACCAAGGCCCTTTCTGGCAACGTCATCTCCTGGGCCGAGTCCCACATCGAGATCTACGGTGGAGCCACCAAGTGGACATTTGAAGCCTGTCGCCAGATCAACTGAGGCTCCAGGCTGGGCTGAGCCTCCCAGCCTTTGGCCCCCGGCCCCCGCCCACCTGCCCCTGCTTGTGCCATGATGATCCGTCGTCTCTTCTCTCCCTTTCCCCTAGGAATGACTCAAGGCAGTCGCCCTCGCACATGCGCACACGCAGACGTGCACACGCATATGCACACAGCCTGGTTCCGTCCTCACACACAGAAGCAGGCCTGGCTCCCATCTGTCCCGAGGAGGTCCCACTTCTCACTAGGAGCCCCATGCTGTTCCTCAGGCACGCCCCGCTCACCGCTAACGCAGGTGGCTGAGACATTTTGAACAATGCAAAAGTAGGTGAGAGGACTTGCGCGTGCGTGCGCGTGTGTGTGTATGTATGTGAATGTGTGTGCCTATGTCTACAAGTGTGTGTCTTGGGGGAGGCCTTTTCTCTAAGAATGAGGTATTTCATTTTCTTCTTTCTTTGTGGCTTTGGGAAATCTCATAACTGGTCGAATATCTGTATTTGCCAACTTTGTTAGCTGCCTGCGTGCCTGGGGGCTGGTGGGACTTCTTCTGCAGTGCATTTGTCTTCATTTGCAAACCTTTTTCAGAGCGACATATCTCTACTACAGTCATGCGTCTCTTAATGACAGGGATACGTTCTGAGATGCGTCGTTAGGCCATATTGCCATTGTGCCAACATCAGAGTGTACTCACACAAACCCACCTGGTATAGCCTCCTACGCACCTAGGCTCTACGGTACTGATCTTACAGGACCCTCGTCCTTTATGTGGTCTGTTGTTGACCGAAACGTCATTATGTGGTGTATGACTGTTGATAAAATAAATGTCTTTTCGCGCTTTGTTCAAGGCTGGGTGGGCCTCTGCGTAGAGAATTTCTATTTTGTAATAGAAGTGAATTCTCTCTGAAGGGGTGAAGGCAGAGTGTCCTCAGATGACGCCACATGCTCAGAGGGGGCAGAAGAGGTGGGGCTGGCCCCAGGATCAGGCAGTCCCTCTTCTTCCCACCAGTGCCCTGCCAGCATCCTCCTGTTGGCATCTGCGGGCAGTACTGGGCCCAGGAGGCTGACCTGAACGCCCAGCTCTGCTGGCCCTGGCCCAGGATCCCGTCTTTGGCCCTCAGCCTTCCCACTTCCTTGCACCCTGCGTGCTTGGGATCCATCCTCCCTTTCAACCACCAACTGGTCCTGCTACCACACCAGTGCCCCTGAGAGAGGAGCGTCCCACCCACAGCCCAGGAAGCCAGGACCCCAGGGCCCCTCGCCTTTTCCCTCTGGCAGTGGGAGACCAGAGGCTTCAGTGGGTCATCTCAAGAGAGGACATTTTAGACAAGGAAACCCATACTCTGATTGAGACCCAGCCACACAGAACCACTGAGACTTGAACCCAACCAGTTGATGGGAAGGTCTGTGCTAATTCTGACAGCCATATTCTCCCACAACACCCGAGCCCAGATGAGCTGGCTCAGCAAGTCCTCCAAGGGGGCAGGTCCTCCAGAGACCTCTCACGTGGAGCCAGGCATGGCCAGGCCAGGGCCTGAAACCCACTCCCCCATCTTACAGGGTTCAAGTCTCGCAGTAGCCCCAACCTGTCACCAGCTGGTGGCACTGAGACCTGACCAGTGTCCCGAAGCTTTGACTTTTTTTTTTTTCTTCATGTAAAGCAACCATGTACATTCCTTTCTAGTCCTTCTGAGGTAGGGAGAAAAGTGTGTGTGTGTGTGTCTGTGTGTGTGTTGAGTGAGAGAGAGGAGGAGTGCTCAGACGGATCATGCCCAGGGTGGGGAAGCTCCCCCTTTGTTGCACCATCTGGGAGTCGCACGCCCTGAGGGCACCCTGGACTCTGTCCCCAGGAGTCTAATTAGCAAAAGGCTGTCGAGTCTTTCTAGAAATTCTACTGCACTGCCTGACTCATCTACAGCTGCAGACATTTCTACAGGAGGAGCAGGTGCTTCCGTCTTCTGTTCCTTCCAGGGGCACCTGTCTCCTTAAACGCAGGTCCATGTTGTGTTGGAAACCTAGTGCATCTGTGTGTGTCTGTGTTGGTGTCTGTATCGGTGTCCATGTGGGTGTCTGCACGGTACCCAGTCGCCGTTCTGCAATGCATCGCTCTCATTCAGAGCGTGTGGTCCAGGCACCACGCTGCGTGTTGTGGTTAAACAGTGGCTTTTTCTGAGACCATTGTGCTTTGTCAGAGCCCGTCGGGTTGTGGCATCTTTGGATCTGCAGGAATCTTCTCTGTTTGCATGTTCCTCGGGGTGGCGTGTCCCTTGCTCCCTCAGTCCGATGTGTGTTCCCCTGCCTGCATGGACTTCTCTGGTTATGTGTTGTGTGCCAAGTACCACTCGTTGTTCTGTGACCATGTAGCCACTGAAAATGGCTGGGAAAACAAGTGTCGGAGGAGGTCGAGAGAGAGATCAATTTCCCTCTCCCCCTCCCCACTCCCTGAACACACCAAGAAGTATTTTTAACGTGTAGGTTGAGAACAAGCCTAAATAATACCGTGGTTGGGAGAGAGCAAGAGCTTGGAATCACCCCTCCACACCAGATCGGCCCCACCCCTCACTTCAGCCATCTCGGAGCTGTTGCGTAGGCAAGGCCCACAGCGTGCTAGGTGCTCTCCTGTCAGCACCTCCCACCAGCCCCTGCCGACCTACCGGACCCCAGACCACCTTCTGCCCAGAGTGGGCATGGTGGGAGCTGTCCATTCAGGACCACAAGCCATCCTCTGCCCTAACTAGAGATGGGCAGAGCATATCCCAGATGCTTATGCCTCTGTCCCTTCTGCCTCCCGACCCGTTCACCTTCCTCGCCCCCTCCCCTGATGCATTCATGTGACAGGGGCAGAAACTGACATTTAGCTCCCCCCTCCACCCCTAACTGGAGCCTGTGCCAAGCCCCTCGACTCCCTCACTGTGTTAACACTTGGCACTTTGCTGGCCCCGAGAAAGGTAGATGACACAGCCACAAATCTAAACCACATAGTTTCCATCTTCTCCTTAATCTGATTGATGTTCCCTCTTGCACTGAATAATACATGCCTATCTCAGGTAAGCCATTTTATAAAATAAGAAGATAAAAAAGCGCTGTCTCAACAGTGTTTGCTTTTGCCGAGCTGGTGTCCCACAGCTCCCTGGGTGTCTGAGGTGGGAGAGCTGCCGACGTAGGCTCTCCGGGCGCTTGGGGGCTTAGATCCCACTTGAATTGTAAGCCTTCTTGCTTTTGATAACACAGTATTATTTCTCTTACCGTAGAAGAAAAAGTTTATTACCAAACAAGAGTATTTTTATGAAAGAAAAGGGCAAACCTATAAATTAACTCAACCTATATCTCCCTTGAAAATACTTTCAGGCTCCGCCAAAACGTAGGACTGAAAGCTTGTATTTTGGAAGAAAGAGATGCATTTTGTATGCTTTCTTTTCCTTTTGTAGATTCCCAGTTTGTTTTCTAAGACTGCAAAGATCACTTTGTTACCAGCTCTGGGACCTGAAACCAAGGGGGTGTCTTGTGGGCAGTGAAGGGGAGGGGAGAGGCTAGTGTGAGGTTCACAGTCATAACAATGAGCTCCAAAGAGGGGCCACCTGTTCTCAAAGGCGTGTTGGGGACCATTATGTAAACTTGGCCATTGATGGTGGACCCTTTGTCTCGGAGCTGACTTGTTGAGTGGAACGAATTGAGAACTTGATTATCGGTTCCAACTCTGATAAAAGAAACTAGGGTTACTTATTATTAACATCAAGAGGATAGAATCCTTTGTAATCTTATGGCAACCAAAATGTGGCTTGAAGTAGCCATGGTTTCATCTCTTAAAACACAATGTATAAATTTATTCAACAAACGACAGGAAATGTATTGCTTCCCTGCATAGGGGACTTAAGTGCAGTTTGTTGAAGGGGAACAAGTCATTGAGGAGAGACAAAGCCCAACATTTAAGAGTCCCAATTTTGTCCTATTTGCCAAAAAAAAAAAAAAAAGAAAGAAAAAAAACCCACCACAACAATAAAGCAAACCCCCTATAGTTGATATTGTGATAATGTATATACTGTATAATATGAAAGAGAATCGATGTATCTTACTTTTTCATTATTTGCTAACCAAAGCTGTACATTTTTCATATGATCTGCAGCCTTTTGGGTATCAAATGGGTCAAAACCATGGGACCTGCCACCTCCCATCAGCAATTCTGGAAATGCACTATTTCTACTGGTATTCTTGCTTTCTTTCTTTTTTTTTTTCACTTTCTTGCTGAAACGACATGAATTGTTGAGTTTATTTTTACACAGTAAAGAGTGAAGAAAGACTGTGGTCTCTTTGCAATGTCTCTTCTTTTCTCAAGCTTGTAAATATCATCTCAACCTGCTGGACCACTTCAGGGGACCTGCCAGGAGACCCTCACCTGCAGGAAGGTGTATGCCTTGCATTTGCATTGCAGTGTGCCCCTCAACAATCCCACAGCCCTCCAGTGACACTGGGACATCAGGGGCAGGGAGAAGGCCTCCCCAGTTGGCAGGTGCAGCTGACACAGAGGTAGAGAGAGGCGAAATGATTTCCCAACTCTTCGAGGCCACGCTGGGCTTGGAGTGCAGAGTAACTCCCCATTCCTCACCTCATCTGCAGCCCTGCCCCACAGCGCAGCTCGGCACAGGGTCCAGGCAGCCTGAGCTTGTTCTTCCTAAAAACCCTGCTCTGCTCTCCTTTGCCGCATCCCTACTGACAGGTCTTTGGCCAAAGCCTGGTTACCTCCCCTCTTCTGGGGTTCCCAGGCCCCTTCCCTGCACTCAAGTATGAGAGCATCCCCGGATTCACATAACAAGGGGAATGGGTGGCGTGGGAAGACTGGGCGCTGGGAAGAACTTACTTCCCAGGCCCCACGTGGACCAAGCTAGACTGGATGGACATAGAGCTTGTGAGCTACTCCCTTCCAAGGGACAAAATGACCAGGAGTCAAAATAGCCTATCTGGTTGATTGGTCTCCTCTCCCCCAACACACACACACACACACGCACGCACGCACGCACAGTGGGTTACCAGAAGGGACCAGTCTCTCTGGCTTCTGCTGGTACTGCAGTGTGCCTGCACTCTTGGCTTTGACCACAGACCTCCTGCCAACACAATGGTGTTGCCTGGCCAGGACTCAGGAGCTGGGGTGTGAGTGAGCCACTCATTGCCTCGGGTGATACAGAGGGAGGAGGTGAGGCCTCACAGCAATGCAGGCAGACAGGCAGGCAGTTCTCCCTGTTGCCCCCTGCAGGAGGGGCCTCGATGGGTAGAGAGAAGCCCCCACCAGGTTGCAGACCCTTGACCAGTTCTCTCCACAGTTGCCTTTAGTGGATGGTGTCCT